AAACAGTACATTTTCAAATGAGTTTCTAAAATTGTTAAACGTGTCTGTTTATTAATTTATCAAAAATATCAGAAGTATAATACTTAAAATTCAAAATTATAATACAAACCTTATCCATAAATATTTTTTTTCTTGATTTTTGGGAAGCGAAATATTCTATTTTGATAATCAATATTATAAAAGCTATTCCTTAAAGCTCTCTACCGGGTGATTCTTTTATCGTTAACAAATATTATTTCAGAAAGTATTTTTTTTTTTAGAATCTGAAAAAAAAAATTTATTTTACCTTAGGTATTTATTTTTTATTAGTAATTTTTTTAGTAGTTATTTTTATTTATTATTTCTTTAGTATTACATATTATTAATTTACAATGAAAGTATTACAGTAAAATACAATGGATTTTTTAATTTGTTCAAATAGTGTACTTTTTTGTTTTATATTTCGTTATTAATTTAAATTGTTTTTAAAAAAAGTTCAAAAACGTATTGAAATATGCATTTATATTCTTAAATTCCTAAAATATGCATTTAAAATACATAATCATAAACTACGCAGAATAAAAATAATATTATTTGATTCAGCAGAATATGAATTGAATTTGTATCTAGGTCAGCATTGAATTGGATAAGCAGAAAAAATATATGAAATTTCATAAACATCCGAACCCTAATTATAACGAGTAATTTATGGATACATTAATAATTATTATTATTAAGTACCTATACTAGTAAATTAATACACATGAAAAAAAAAACCTTTGTTTAAAATTTTGTTAGGTGTATTAATCATTTTCATAGAATAAGATATATAATAAGATATATTAAGATGTATAATTATTTGGTAAGTAGGTACTGTTAAGGTACAAATCTAATCTAACCACGACGGTGGCCATTAGTTGTATCACTATACAACACGACACATAGGAAATTTTTTTCTATTTATGATTCAACGTGGAATAATAATAAAAAAACTTAAATTTTTAAAAAGTGTCTACTATACCTACCTCTTAATCTTTCGATTTATATAATTATATTACATTTTGCATTCACATTTTAGTTACAAATAACAAATAAATTATTTACGAATACGTATAAAATATTTTTCTTTGTATTCAAATTCTTACACACTGACGTATAAGTTTATTTTCTAAATTGATCCAATATGATCTTGGAAGTGGGAATCTCGTCAACAGGACGACGTAAAATGTAAATAAAAATGTAAAATAATAATATATAATATTATAATACCCAAATCTTAGTATGTAGTTACGATTACCGTAATATGGATGTAAAATTATTTCTTTCTACATAATATGCTGTAGACCTGTGGTTAAAAATATTTTGCCGTGTGGCTAAAACCTAAAAATATTTCGCATGGAGATTTTTGGGCACGAGACCTTTCGTGAAGTACGAAGTCCCGAACAAATGTCCAGATAGAGATCCATCAGCCGGTGGTGTACGTAAGTACCATATATAATTATTATATTATACAATTTCTATAAATTATGCTATATCACCTTACAACGTCATTGTTAACAAGTCGATTCAAGCATTTATTAACAATGGTTTTAATCCACTCACAAGATATTATATTTTTTTAGATTCTTCATAAAAGATGGGTTTATAAGGTACCTAAGTGTTTTACTTATACATTTGTATTTTTTTAAAACGAATGCCTAGGTACATTATTATCACTCCAAAAACACTTCGTTACAACTCTATGTAAAAAAATAACAAAGTTATAAAAAAATAAATTTAGTAATGATTAAGTATATAAAAGACGTAATATAATTTGGAAACTAAGTCAAATACCATTTTATAATATTATAAATACCTATGACGACAAATAAGATAAATTGTAAAGTTATCATTTATTCACACGAAATTATAACAAAGTGTTTTTGGTGTGGTATTACCTATTTTTTTTATAAAAAAAGTAACGATTTTATTAGACTTTGTTAAACCTGAAGATACATTTTGATAATTTTTCCCTTTTTTATTTATCATATATTTTTTTTTAGTTATCATTTATTATATATAATGATAATAATAATAATAATCCACCTAGCATCGCCTTTTACATTTTATGTATATATTTTTTACGTAGTTTTTGTTTGGTAAATGTAAATTATACATATTCTAAACGTAGTATTGCAGACCAATAATTATCACAACATGTTATCGACATTCAATGTACCAAAAATAAATAACAATAAAACTAAATATGTTAATACAGTCGAAATAATATGCATATGAATAGTGGCATCGATCATTTCGAACGATAAATTATTAATAAACGGTATTATTCCGTATACACGGTATAAAATTAGAAAAAAACACACATAAACTACTCTATATTGGTAAGAGAAAAAATATTTATGTAAAAGAAAATATAATAGTGGTTCCAAACGTATATTATTTAGATAATTAGAAAATTGACGTTCGAAAAGACCGAATAAGCCACTGATGACGGATTAAGACCAAATTTCTACTGTGAGCAAAATCTTACTCCAACGTATCAAGTTTGGCATTTTTTTTGAAAGGAAATTGTATCTTTTTGGTTCTTTAGGGAGACTATGTTTTGATTTTCCAAGCGGTTTTCATAATAATTGGGAATAACCGGGAGAAAATGTGGGAAAACTGGAAATTATACGAAATATACTATTTTAAAATCGTAAATATTACAGCCTTTCAAAATATGTATAGCTGAATTCCGTTAAGAATTGTTTTTTATTAGCAATGATCAATCATTGCGTACAGATTTATATTAAATTTCTTCTCTATCTTCTCAACTTCCCACTTACAAAAGCAGCCCACCTATCGTGTGAAGTATGTCCGTCTTTTTAATTGTTGATAGGCAGAAACGAGAGAATTCGATAATGGAAAAATTAGCAATCGAAAGAATTATTCGATAAATTCACTCGAAATAAAAACTGCATAGTCAACTGATAATAAAATGCGTATGACTTACGTCAATAAAATATGCAAAATAAATAAGCAAGATTAGATATAATTCTATTTCAAAATGAAAGTGACAATAACTGGATAGAATTATTGTGATGTTTGTCACTCGGTGTTTAATTCAGTGACGTGCCGTCAGGGCAAGCTAGGTAAGCGGCACATGCCCGGCCAAAAATGAAGAAATAAAAGGTTTAACACTTACTATGTTAAATGAAAATGCGACTTATATAATATTAAAACCACTACTATTCATTAATTCTTGTACGAGTTATAACCGTTATTCCATTAAGCTCATCGTTTTAATTTATGACACGGGCAAGAGGCGTGTTGGTTGTTTGAATAAAGAAACAGAGTAATTTATTGTTGTTCGTATGAATGTACTACGGCCTAGTATACCGGCCACAGCGCATCCCGGTATCCCACCGGCACAGGCTGTCAGTGGACTCCAATTTAATGGAGTATGACAAATTCTACGGGAATTGGATCACAATGAACCATTTTTCAAAAAGGTAAGTAATTGGGCCACTAAAATTTAACATTTATAGCAGGTAAACTCGGTGATTAGGCCACTATTTTAAATGTTTTTTCATTACTGAATCTAATAGTTGGGTCACTATATTTTAATACATTTTAGATTTGAAAAAAGGCAAACCACTGTTTTACACCAATGTTTTAAATTATTTTAAACTATACTGTTATTTTTTTCCACGGTTATAAATTTTAATTTCTTATTATGTTCACTATAATCGATTTATGTTGACGGCACTTTTGAATAGGTACTGTGCAATGCAATCTGTATCAAATTATATAAAAAAAAAAAATTAATAATTATTTTAATAATTTTATGTTGTATTTTATATTATGTATTTTAATATATTTAAAATTATATATTTTTGTGCTATACATTTGTGGCCTAATCTCCTGGTTCCTTTTTAAAAATATACCTTTTATTCGTGGTCCGATACCTGCATAATGAAATGTCCAAAAATATTGTATACGCAGGTAGATGAAATATGGCCCGATTCCTGACCGCTCATATTATCTATTTTAGGTTGATAAAAAGGGACTATGAAGGAGTTTACGCTATATTTTATAATCAGATGAAAAGGTCATTTTCGTAGGAGTTTGCATAATATAACCGATTTAATAATATTTCCATTCTGAATTACACATTCACATATTTAATAACCCTCTTGCAGATAATCTTACCATAGAAAAGGGGGGGGGGGCAGCTGTCTGCCCAGCCATATCCCTCTCAAACACGTCTATCGTCAGTCAAACGATTCACGATATTTTAAATTTTAATATTTCTTTCACATTTCCCTCCGTTTTTTTTTATATTTTTATATAATTTTTTATATTAAAGGGTAAAGGTATTTCAAAAATATAATGGGGTGGCCATTTGAGTGGCCTGTAAAAAATTTTGGGTAGCTAAGGCGCCCCTTAGTTACGTGCCTGGCCCGAACTAATTTGACCCGGCCCCAAAAATTATTAGGAAAGCTCTGTGTGTATATATCTATGGTAAGGCATTAAGTACGGTTCATCTTCTGTTTATTCAGATTTTAGTTTATTGGTAATATAATTTATTATACATATAGGATTTTCTATTGTAGTGCATCGTGATCATTTAAAAAATATAATTACTAAGGTACTGAAGATAATGTAGATATAATCTATTGAATATTGTGTAAACTCCGTGAATTTTTTTTTTTCACAGCCGCGGCCTACTGTGCTGTAACACAATATCCTGAGTATGGCAGTGGGTGACTACGAGTGTATCAAATTCTCGCGGCGAACAGGGTAATCGGGGGTGTGAATCGTAAACGAAGACCACGAACTCCCTCTACACTCCCAAGGACAAATAATCCGGTTGTTCGACGACAACGAAGCGCGGCACGCGTTGGCACGAGCTGCTGCGTTCGCGCCTTGCGTTCGTATTCCGTTTGTTGGTTTAGTCAGTCACTGTCGGTCGTTCTGCAGCCCATTGGAATCGTTAGCGTCCGTTAAGCGTCGTTTGCCTTTCTATATCCACCACTACCATGGACGAGAAGTACATAACCGTGTACACCGCGGTACGTATTATTATGATCAACCGTTTGAATAGTTACTGCTATTATTATTTAAGGATAAAATACAATTTTAAAAAAAAAAATAATTAGTTTTGTTTTTTCCCGCCAATTTACGGTTTTACGTACCTATGCGAATATTACCTATTGATTTTGACCCAGTAAATATTATAATTATTATACTTTCCAAGACTATGAACGGGGGGTTGGGGGGCGTCAAAATCTTGAACGGCAAAAATTTAAATGGCAAAATCTTGAACATAAATGGTTATCTATAGTTGCCCCTTACAGATTTCTAATTTTAAATTAATGTTATATTTATGTTATCTAAAAATGTCAATACAATAAAAATAAAATAGACACCTCATACATATTAAATTTAGCCATATAATAATAATATTAACATTTTAATGTAGTATTATATCGTTTCAGTTAAACCGAATCGAACCCAAAAATGAGAATATGCTTGCTACAAAGAAAAAAGCCAAGATGATTTCCTACTGCGAGAATGTTGTTAGCCGACTAATCAGTATGTTAAGCGGTTCAAAACTGTTTTGTTTTTCCTATAATTGGTTATTATTTTCTCAGATAGCACTACAAAGCAAGAGAAAGAAGACATATGCAAAGAATTTGAAGAGAATATGAAATGTGCAATATGTCAAGATACAATCGTGGATGTAATTATATATATATATATATGTATATTATATACTATTATACAAACTATTTAATTTTCATAACTATTAGGGTAACAATTAGCTATTTTAAATATGATTTGTTTACAAGTACAAAATAATCGCATGTGGTCATGCATTTTGTCATACGTGTATTACCCAATGGTTAATCAGAAATATATCGTGTCCCGACTGCAGAAGCGAACCCAGGATAATGATATTTTCTGTCGAAATCGACAACGCGATTAACGAAGCGTATAGACTTATTGGTGGAGAAATTTACAAACGCCGCATAGAAAACATAAAACAACGTAAGTCATATTTTATTTTGAAAAGAGGACGAGATCCAATTAACAAATAAATTCATAAATTGAGCAAGTGTTTATCGTTTCCGTCAAAATGAAAAAGGTTCGATTTTCGTTTCTTTCAAATCTGTTTTTACCTACATTATTATTTGAGCATCCCTAGTCGTAATAACAATAAATCTACAACTAATGTTATCGGTAGATGTCGGAATTTGAGATCAACAATTTGATATTTAATTAAATATACAACCACAATACTCGTAATAATTATCTTTATTTACTTATGCAATATTAAAATAAAAATCTTATTAGTACCATACATCAAACGCACCCGAGAAAACAAGTGATCCATTTAAGTGGCTACACTCATTATCTCGGAAAATACACACATTTTTCGGTAAATTTATAAAACAAGCAGCTCTACAATTTTATATTTATGTTATTTTTTGTCATTCTTATTTTTTGGGGTAAAACCATTACCTACTTCTGATTTTCAAATAAACCCTTTTTTAAAACGTCCATATATATTAGATTGAGTATTAGTTAAAATAAATTTAAGTGTTAACATTTTTGATTTTTGTTAAACCGTTGACGAGATATTCCACACTAAGTTTAAAGGAGACTAGTGGTGCATTATTAACACACCGCGCGTCGTACCACCACACAAATGATAATCCACTACTCTCTTCCAACCTAAACTTAAAAGTGAAATATCTCGTTAACGAATCGACGAAAATTTAAAATTTCAACATAAAAATTTATTTTAACTAATACTCGATCTATTCAGGGAATTTTTATTATAGTATGTTATTTGAAAATTAAAAGTGGGTAGTAGTTTTACCTCTAAAAATAAGGGTGACATAAATAACATGAATATAAAATTTTAGAACGTCTTGCTTCGTAAATATTCAAGAAAACAAAAAAAAAGTTGATACTTTCCGATATTAATGAGTGTACTTAAATGTTTCACCTGATAAACTAAAAACTTTATTTTTAGAATTAAATTTTTAAACGTGCATGTTATATTAATTTACGTATGTGATTTATAGAATTATAAGACACATTCAAACAAATGTAATTATAAGAGTTATGATGACTTAAATAATAAAAAAAACTAACATACTTCGCACATGGTTGGGCTACAGTTGTGGGTGAAAAGTTGGGAAGGTATAGGGGAAATTTAATATACATCTGTATGCAATTATCAGCCATCTCTTTAGATTCGAAATGGAGCGAAAAAGCTTATAGTTTTACAAAGATATATATTTTTTTTTTAGTGTAGCACCTTTTTTGAAAGGAAATCGGTGCAGAAAGATACTTTTAGAAAGTAATTTTTCGATTATCTCAGGAGTTTTTTCATCAACTTTAAAAAACTGGAAAAAACAAGAAAATATAAGAAATATAGGTATTAAGAAAAATATATTACAATCTTCTTTTTTTCTGTCAACAAATTTTCTACCAGCAATATTGCTCCAATTTTTAATGATAGCAATATTTCCAAAAAAAATTTTATTAGGGATGTACTTTAAATAGGTCATTTTTCGATTTTCTCAGGAGTTTTTCCAGAAAATGTGAAAAACCGATACAATATTAAACAAATATAATTAAAGAAAATATTTAAAGCATATTTAATTATTTTACTATAAAATGATTTATATATTGTTTATAAAGCATCACCATCAACTGAACTCCGCTCAGAATCGTTATTTTGTAAGCAGTGGTTTATCGTTGCTTACAGGTACACATTAAATTATCTATAACAATGACTGCATCCGTCCCCATTTTTCTAGGATGTCTTTTTTGACACATAACTTCAAAATAATTTATTATGACTTAAATATTCAATTTAATACATAAATCTAAAAGTTGATTACTGACGTTACATAGTAACTAATAAATTATTATCTTATCATTTTTTCATAAAAAACGGTTTTTACACTTATTTAATTTAAGTATTGGTACGGCATCCTGGTTACAGATAAATAACCGTGGCGTTCTCCAATTTTTTGACGATGCATGCACGTGTCATTTTTGTCAGTTTTATTACTACCAAGCTGTAGTTATTATATTCTTTTATCGCGTAATCACGTAATGGTGCTCAAAAATTACAGTGGCATCTGCAGCTGTAGCAAAATTTCTACGATAACGGGATGAAATAAAATATTGTTGATCAATGTGAAATATTACAGCGGAACCGCGCGGTAGCAGTTATAGGTCCTCTATAATATTTCAATTCTATCTTGTTTAATTTTCGATAACTTTTATACCTTTATACTACGAACCACGTTTAGTCGTTTAGTGTATATATTTTATCTTATACATGTGACTTGCTTGATCGGTATTTATTTATTTATATTTGCTCATCGTTAAATATTTCTGACACCGAGTGCCGATTTTGCTAAACACCTTACTTTTCTGAAAAAAAAAAAATTTATTAATTTAGTTATGTACAGAGTGTATCTTACGGAATGTAATTACATAATTTAGATTCTGATTGGAGCGGCGACGAATGTATTGGTTTTACAATTATGTTTATTGTTGTATTTTTTTTTTCTGTGGACAATTTTTCCACCAGCAATTTTGTTCTACTTTGAAATAATAGCACTTTCTTTGAAAAGAAATCGGACTAGTGAAGTACTTTAAGAAGGTCATTTTTTTTATTTTCCCAGCTGTGTTTATATCTAATAAATGGGAAAACCGAGAAAAAATATGAGAGAAAATATAGGGAAATTAGGTACAATATTAAACAAAATTATTAAAGAAAATATTTAATACCTATTTAATTATTTTACCATAATACTATATATATATTTGACAAAGCAACACTATTAACCGAACTCTGCTTAAAATCGTTTTATGTTATCAACTATCAATAGTTAATCATTGCACACACAGATATAAATAAAATACCACCTCTGCTTTTCCAATTTCTCACCTACAACAGTGGATCATCTAAGTGCAAAGTATGTCCATATTTTTTTCATATTATACATCTACCTAGTTAGTGCGATAATTCTTGAGCATTGAATTATTTTTGTAGCACAGGAAAAAATAGAAATTTAAAATAAAAGTATATTTACTTATTTAATCTATATAGAATAGAGGTAAATATTTAAAATGTATATGAATAAAGCTTAGAGCCTAAAAAATTCCACAATGATAACAAAAAAAAAACAAATCAAATTCACTTAAAACCCTTGGAGATAATTTCTGGTTCATGATAAAAAAAATCACCATGTACTGTATTATTAATTTGATCTGTTTTTGTTCCAGATTCTAACAAGAAGGTAGATAAAACTTACGCTAAAAACAAATCGAGGTAGGTATATAATATAATATAATAGGTATATTGTATAGAGAAACACAAATACAAACAATATATCATAAATATTTAGTAGATAGGTAATATTTTATCAGTTATAAATGGTAGTGTTTGCCTGTCTGTTTGTGTACCATGCATACATAAATTTATCTCGTGCAAAGGTCTGAAAATGATCATACAAAAGTGGATTAACGGGCTCGTGTGCATCTCGAATTCAAAATTTCGAAATTTAACATCTGAAAGGTGGTTAAAATATTGGTTTTGGATACACACTTTTTAGAAAATAAATTACAGGAAAATAACTTTAATAATAGTGATATTTTGGAAGTGAGGAGAGAAGTCGTGCCAAATAATATTATTGATTTTTTTTTTTTAAGTTTTATACTGTCCATATGCAAAGCCACACGGACAGCTATAGATGTATACATTATTTATACAAATAATTTTATACATATAATGAAATAATTAATATGGGGAAATATAATTATTTCACGCTACTTTTTATATTGTTTACATATTAATTATTTAATTATTCTAATTTCAATAGAATATAAAATAGAACTCGGTCAATTATTTAAGGTTATTAACATTTAAAATAACTAAAATGTATATAAATGATTTATTTCAAACAATGACTTTTAGAGGGTTTAAAGTAGATAAATTTGATTTTGGTTCCTTTCAATATATAAAATTGTTTAATAATTTATTTTTTAAATATTTTCAAACTTGTAACTACCTACTTCCTGTACTTTAAAAGGAAATAAACTTTTATTTTTCATCAAAATTTCGAAAAAAAATATTTGTCCAAAAACGTTGGTAGGCATATCACTTATTGGTTTTACTGTTTATGAATTTAATCAATGTAACAATTTAGAATTTAAACCTGCGGACTAGGGAAAAGTAATACATTTATTATAATACCAGTAATGGATCATGATAAAAGAATCACTCTATATGATTTGGTGAATGTTTTTAATGAAAAGAGTTTTAACTAAACTTAGTGTAGGTAGGTACTATAATAGTTGTCAACAGAGATTTTATATATCTTTAGAATATTCTTTTTTTTTGTATCCTATACATGTTTTTATTATAATATGTATATTGTATAATTTAATGTTTTTTATTATTTATAGAATGATACTATGCACCCAACAATTTCGAACTAATGATGATGAAACTGAAGATGATGATGATGATGATGATGAAATTGAAGACAATGACGATAATGATAATGATGATGATACAAATATAGAAGTTGTACAGTATGTAGATGATGATACAAATGTAGAAGTTGTACAGTATGTAGATGATGATACAAATGTAGAAGTTGTACAGTATGTAGATGATGATACAAATGTAGAAGTAGTACAGTATGTAGATGATGATACAAATGTAGAAAATATGTTGGATAGATGGACATAATAAAAATGGTACATCCTTTTTTTTAGATTTTATTTACATTATCGGTCTTTAAATATTTCATAATTTTTCCCTATACTATTTCACAAACGGTATAAATTATAAATACATCGATTTGTATTTGTTTTTTTTTTTTTTTTTTTTGTAACCAAGAAGAAATTATTTCTGAAAATACATATCTAATAGTTAATAACATGAGTAAGATTCAGTTGGTGTAGAAAGTTACATGCTAAATTAATATTAAAATATAAATGTTACTAAACAAAAGACAACATAATTAGGTACATATAATTTTAAATTAGTACACATACAATTTAGTTTAAATTTGACAAAATTAAGTATTATTTCAAATATATAAATAATCAATTCAAAATAATCTATTAAGGCAAGTCATTTTCAGATTCTCAGACATTGATATTGCATTTTTTTTATACATTAATTAGCATTAATTTAAAGCACCTGGCACCCAGATATATCTGGCAAGATCAGGAAGTATCTAAATACTTTATAAAAAAAAGGAATCTCTATCTGTACCTTAGATACAAAATATTGCGTATCTTAATGAAAATATCTAAGATACTTTTTAAGATGCAAATTTTAGTTTTTTGGTTCAATAAAATACAAAAATAAAACGTTAAATTCTAAAATCTAATGTTTTTTTAAATATAAATATTAACAATTTATTGTTGATGTGTATTATTTTTTGATTTCTTTATTATTATAAATTATTATGTATGAATGTATAAATATTGTGTATTAATATATATTATTGTATTATGACAAGTGGATAATACCCATTATTTATTTTAATTTACCAATAATTAACCAATATTTTAATGCTGTTATATATTATGTAATTATTATAACTGGCAATGATTGTATTATAGCTCATAACTTTATTAGAATAAAATTTTATCTGAAAACTGACATAAAAATGTAGTTTAAAATTATTGTATCATAAATTATTTGTTTGTTATAATTTTGTAATTCTATATTTTTAATGAGTTAAATATTTATGAAAACAATTATTTGTTTTCTTAAATGTATCTTAAGATACTTGTATCTGTATCTAGATACTTTTTTAAGTAGAGTATCTGTACCTGTATCTAGATACTATTTTAATGTATCTTTTTACAGCACTGCAGATAATCAACAAAATGTTGACTAAAGATTTTAAATTTTTTCCGTATTAATTCAATTTTTTTTACAAGTTTATCATCCCATAATTTGTGATTTTTTAATTATAAACAAAATTTCAATTTTTTTAAAAATATTATTTCAACTATAACGTGCCAAATTAGGATACAAGACTTAGAAGGAAACTTTTAAATAATTAAAACTCCAACTCGAGTTAAAATAATAAATTAATATATCCACATAAAAATACAAGTTTAATAATAATAAATCTTCAAAAAAAAATATATTAAGTCCAATTCAATTTAAAAACATTAAAATTATTCTAAGTCTAAATGAATTCACAAATAAATACAAGTCCAAATAAACATAAAATAAAGTGAAGCGAACGTGCTAGCTATGTATCGTGGTAAGCTGGTGTCTGATGAGACGATGTTTCTGGCGGTGTATGTATGCTAATGCTGCGTCCCTGCAACCCGTTACTCATAGTCGCTGCTATCTATATTTTACTGCTGTCGCCAGAATTAAAATCCAGGGTCCTAGACCTTTTAAATAATCTGGCGACGACCAACACAAAATATTATACACGTTAAATATAATACTTAGCTATATTGTATATACATGTTATGTTAGAATTTTCGAAACTCCTCACAAAAGTATTTTTATTTGTATTAAAATTAGAATACGACCGGCGTGTGCCCGGGTAGGTATTTAGTCTTACTGTTTCGACTACTACCGAATATGGGTTCGCACATGTTTCTCTACACGAGACGTGCGGGCACATAACACAGTGGGTAATACACCTGACAACTTATACATAAACATGTTCTCAAAATCTGTCTTAGCTGTAATAATAGTTGTTTAAGTGTCTTCTTGTCAAAGTCATCCCACACCAATAAAACATACTGACCAACCGATTAGTATAATGCGAGATAAATTATGCACATATTTGTATAGATATGTAGTAGACACATAAACAAATCAGGTATTTTACTAAATGCCTAGACAAATAGTCAGGGAATTTAATTTGTATGCGATTTTAGTATCCACCTAGACATTTAATTAAATGCCTTGATGTTTAACTAAATGTCTATTTTAGTTTTAATAGTGTAATTTCACCACTCTTCGCGGAATATCAACAGGTTGACGAAAATCAAAAATGTCAACACTAAAATCTATTTAAACTAATACTGCATATATTTGGGGAACTTTTAATACAGGTTGCCATTTAAAAACCAAAAGTAGGTAGTGTCCTTTCAATCTAAAAATAAGGGTGACGAAAATAATTGGTAACTCAACATTGTAGAGCTGTATATTTCTTACAATTTCTAAAAAACAAATTCCGAAAAAACTTTTTGAAATAATTACAAGTTATTGAACGATAAACTAATTACTTTGCAATGTATGTAATATCATGTACAGTGAAACCTGTATATAACGGACAGTTACGGGACCATACAAAATGACCGTCATAGACAAGTGTCCGTAATAGATATGTACAAAATGTGGCATTGCAAATAAAAAGTTAAAACGAACGGAGAAAAATTTACAAAACTATAATATCGAAGCGATCGGAATAAACAATGAATAGTCTACATTTTACGTGTTTTTGGTTATTTTCGCCCTCGCAATTAACTTTATCCTTATTATTAAACACGTAATCGGTATTCGAAATAGACGGGCGACGCTGTTGCGTGATGTGTATGTAGAGCGTGTACACACTACACGTTTGCAGTATATTTGATTTTAAACTAAGATATTAGCAAAGTTGTCCGTTATCGGAGTATTGACGAAAAATATTACTGTCCATGTCTGTAATAAAAAGAGTCCGTTGTAGACAAGTCAAAATACATTTAAAGGCTTATTTTTTGCCGAAAAATAATAATTATGATTACTTTTTATAAGATTTATATGTAAGGACCTGAAAATGCCAAATGTGCTCTAAAAATATGAAATACAGTATAATAATTTGCCCATAGCAGATATGTTGGCGGAAACGGATAAAATTGTGTACATACCCGAAACCACAATAAAAACTACCATTTGTGTGTTTTTTATTGATACTTTTTAGGAAAGTGGAACGATAATTTTGAAGCGTATTTCGTGTCATATTCAGCTGTTATTATTGTTATTACTTTAGTTTATGAGTCATAATTGTATTTTTTTTTTTTGAAATGTATTTTGATTATTTGTATTGGCTATAAATTTCATCAACCTCTTATTATGTTCTATAAAAAAAAAAAAAAAATGTTCCTGCCTATAATAGACATTTAAATTTGTACGCTTTTGATGATTTTGAAACAACTTTTTATTACACATTTTACGCAATATGAAACATTTAAACAAAAATATTTGATACACAACATTATTATAATAATAATTGTAGGTACAATAATAATTATTAAACTATATTCAATAGGTATTAGATCAAAAAATACCATGTATGATACAAATTCAATGCATAAATCTTTAAATTACCTTCATACATTTTTAACCTGACGTTATTTGCAATGTTCGAAACGATCGCACTTTTTATTTCTCATAAATAATTTATTTTTTCATCTAGGTAGTTTATACTCAATATACCCTTTAAAAAGATTATTGACAAATTACAATAAATAGTAATGTGGAGAAGAGATAGTACGGGAATGTATCCTTCCTTAAAAAGGAAAACTTCGAATTCAGTGGACTCAAATAATTTGTTTACCTATAAGGTTAATATTGACCGGAAAAAAATTCGCGGTTCCTGCGGAGAAAAATAAAAATAAATAATTTTATAATAGGTATTCTTCCCTATAATTACATATGAAGCAAAAACATGAACAATTAAAAAAAAAACTAATTGTTTTGGAGTGAAAAATCCAGATACAATCTAAAGCAGGTACAATTTTTAAAAGCATAAAAAATCAATAAAATTAAAGTTGATTGTTAAAAAGTTTAAAAAATATACCTTTTTAATAATAATTAATAGCGTAAACTGCTATCAACAACGCTTTACATTATTAACAATTAACAATTCGGATGACTAGTTTTGAATCGTGATTACTACCGTAATCAATGGTTGACAGTAAGTGATTAACATAGTGAAATCAGCCCTAAATTATTAAAAAGAATATATATTGCGTTAGAAATGAGGGTTCTGTAGTTTAGAGGGCAATAGTGGCTATTGCCTCTGCTGAACTTGCCCTAATTGTATCAAATGATTGATCATTTAAAGGTAGAAAGAAAAAACACACAAATCGGTTGTGTCAAATTCATTATATTAACTACTTAATCGATTTTTTCATAAAATTATTAATTTACGATAAACTTTCTCAAAACTTTGTTTATATATTTGTATATCCTATATATTTGAAGATCCAGAATATTCGTACCTAAATAATACAGTTTATGAACTAAATTCAAAAAACGGCCAAAGCGGGTTGGTGCTTTGATAATTTCCCACCCTTTTTGTGAAACGTGAAGTGGTTAAACTATAATCACTAAATTTGACCTAAATTAATCTCTTAAATGAAAATATTTTTAACTAATTTTATTTTTCGTTTATAAAATAAAGATCACCCTTACATACAGGGTGGGCATCATATCTCGGAAAGTGTTAACATTTTTTGAAATTTATTTATTAGAATGTTTACAAAATAAGTTACTCTAAAATATTAAATTTTATATTATATTTTTTTTGCCCTTATTTTGAGGGATGGATATACTTTTGTTTTTCAATTTGTAATCTACATTAAAAATTCCATAAATTGATGACTATATTTTTAAATTGTTTAATTTCTGCTTATCCGTTGACGAAATATTTCTATTTTATGTTTGGGTCCTGACAGAGTAGTAGAGCATCATTTGTGTGAGGGCAAGGCAAGCGG